CTTCTTATTTGAAGTAGCTCAATTTACCCGCACCACATCTCCATCAAAAGCCATCCCCTTCACCCTCAGGCCTCAGCTCTTTTTCTTCATAAACAATAGCAATAAGTACTTGAACTTGTATCTCCCCTCTTGCTTCTCTCCAAATCCTTGATGCACAGTGAAGCCACTCTATATATGTTTTGTTGTTTCACCTTTGTCATTTGACTCCTCAAAATCCAGCCATTCCAAATGAGCTCCTTCCACCAAACATTTTTTCAGAAACTTTATGTTGGGTTCTATGAAGAATGTCGCCCATGTGCACATTCGAATCTATTAAAATAAATTCAAGCGCAGCGAAATCTATTGTTAGGATCATGACTTACGGTTTACATTTTTTGTACCTTGAGACAATTCTGATTTTCGTTGATGGAGATCGTCTGAACCTTGTCGAGTCAGCCGGAGTTGTCAAAATCCTGTCAGACCATTTTCGGTCTGCCAGTGGTCGCCAAACCTCGTTGGTGCGCGTTGCTGGTGGTCTGGTTGCGCTAGTGGCCTGGCATATCCAAGTCTGGCACACTGCGGGGCTGCTGAGACGCACGTCACGCTGGAAGATACGCATTGTAGCCTATAAATACACAAGTCTCTAGCCTCCACAAGAGAGTGCCCAAGGTGTGACTAATGTAAGAACTAGATTTCTCTCATTGATAATTTTTTATAAACCGAGAGGTCAAGAGGTTAGAAAAATTGTGAGGTTTTGGGAGATCCGATAAATCGTCCATCACAATAAACTAGAACAGGTGATCAGTCATACAACAGAAAATCCTCATGTCTTATTTCTCATACTGGTGAATATATATGTCCACGCGGATCCTCGGACGACCACAAAACTTGAAGAGTACCACCATCGAAGGAAATGCATCCACCAGTGTGATCAGGACACTAGCAGCAATGCCACGTGTTGTCGTCGGAGGATCATGCGCAGCCCGTGCATAGCTCGCAAGCGATCACGCTCGCAGCGCTTCCCAGTGCTCGAGTGCATTATGCATAACAACGCAAGCACCAGACGACCGCGCACGCACACCTATGCATGAGACCCAGCTACGCTTGGGTACCTACGTACCAAAGCACGAACATAACACCAGCATGCACCAGGCGAGCCACTGCGACTCCTGACCACCTCTAGCAGCTCGGGTGTGGTCCAATAGCAGACTAGTAAGCCAAAGGCGATGCTAGGCGTGACTCGAACACCGGGAGTCATAATGTGGATGGATGAGAGACTCGATGAGATGGGCACGCTAAGCAACGAGACAAGAGGATGATAAGTCTAGTTTGAAGAATAACTCAGAATCGTTCGCCTGACCCCGTAAGTCGTGTATGCATGTACAAAGTCAGCAAAAAAATTTAAATCGTAAGTCCTGATCCTAATTAAAGATTTTTCTTCATTTGGAATTAGTTTTAATAAATTTAGTAATGCAAATCGACGATGCTTCTCAGAAAACCCAACATGTCTTCCCAACTCAAAGAATAGGCACGCTTTCAAAAACGACGATGGGTATGGAAAGTTGACACTGCACATACGATCGCATCATTCGACTGAAATAGGGATTACCACGACCCAAACGCAATTTCTGGACGCGAGTAGCACTCTATCCAGAGGTATCTTCTATTTTATCTCAATGCTTTCATGAAAACCATAGAAAAACTAGTTGAATTTGTTTGTAGTTAGTCTTTTCCTTTCAATTTTGCTATTCTGAATTATATGAATTTTTTTCTCAAATCACTATAACTCGGTTGCATCTCGGGTTCCACGTACTACTCTCACCTGTGATATTCGAAGAATTGTGAGTGAGGAAAAAAATGGCGCAAAATTTTAAAGCTTTAAACCAAAGAACTTCTATTTGTTGTGACATTTGGTCCGCCCATTGGCAAAATAATTTTTACATGAGATTTACTTATCATTGGGTAGATGATAATTTTACATTACAAAAACGTTTAATTGCTTATACATGATTTTTTAATGTTCACACTGCTTCTAATATCGCTCGTTTAATTTCACATGTCTTGATAACTTATATAATTGGTAAAAAGAAAAATGAATTATTTCTCTTGATAATGCTAATGCTCATACTGCATCTATACCTGAACTTAATAAGGAAAATTTCCGTCCCCTTTCTGGAGGAAAGTTTTTTCATATTTAGTGTATGTGTCGTATCTTTAATCTTTGTGTTAAAGTAGGTTACGGTCACGCCCATTAAAAATGACGGTACTTACTTATATTGTTGTCTACAAAAAATGAAACAATGGGGAAGGTTTTGTAGAGAAAAAGGTATTGCACCTAAAAAAAATTCCAACCAAACGTTCATGCCCATTGGAACTCAAATTCTGAAATGTTACTTAGAACGTTTGAACTTCTGTCAAATTTAGAGGATTCTTTTCAGAGTTTTCAATGTAAGGATTGTGTTGTTAGTGATTGGGTAAATTGTCACACACTTATGAAATTTTTAGAAACATTTCAAGATGTTACTAACGTACTTTCTGGTGTTTACGATCATACTACTCAACTTGTCGTAAGTCAGCAAGTCGTAATGTAGAGTTTTAGAGATATTTTTATTAGTCATCCTGACAAACACGACGAACTTGCAAGAGATATGTTAAGAAAAAAGTTTAAATATTATTTTTTCATTCTCAATACATTTTTAGTTGCATCTTTGTTAGATCTGTCATTGCGTGAAAATGGGTTGCTCAACCAACTTCACATATATTATGATATTCTGTGTCAACTTCCACTTTCCACAGATGTTCCGATTATCAGTCTGAGAACTAACCCATGACAACTCGTTGATCAAACAAAACTTTTATTGTATGAATTGTTTAGGGAAACAACAATCGGGCTCAGAAAAATTCGATATCATTTGTTTCTACTGCTCTCGGGCCTTCTTCTTAAGGACAATAAGGACAGACAAAGTAGCAAGCCAAAAATATAGATGACTGGTGGGAGGACAATTTTAATCCCTACAAAAAATGCTAAGATCCAAAGGGCAAAGGGGACTTGATAAAGTGAGCTCGATCACTACCTCACGACAAATTTGGTACTTACGATTTCTCGTGAACCATTTCTGCCAAAAATTCGACATGTTGATTGGTGGTCAAAGATGACTCCCATTTATCTTATTCAATGTTTGATGGCCAAAGAGATTTTTCGTTGTCCCTGCTTAAAAAGTGGGGGTTGAACTAGCATTTAACAAGGGGGAATATACACTGGATGCATGATGGTCTAGGTTGACGCCAGAAAACCTGGAGGCCCAAATGTTGTCGAGTGACCGGTAGAAGGCCGAAATGAAGGCGTAAAGATCATGCTAACTACCGAAGATGATGAAGATGATGAAACATTCGATTTCACTGCTAGTACTAGCGGAACCGCTAGAAATGAAGAGAATTACGAGACCTACGACTACGATTACTATATCGTCGGTTTAATCATGCCATCAACTTTCATCAAGGTAAGTAAAATAAAAGAACTACGAGGATTTTGATTTCCACGGTGAGGCATCCTTGGACAACTTGACATATTACAAATTAACATATCAAAATTTCAACTCAAAATTCTTCAAACTTAATTGATATTTTAGCTTATAATATGTAAACTAAACTCAAGTCCAATTTTTATAAGTCCTCCCCCATCTCAATTTTTTTTTTTTTTTTTTAAATAAAACTGCCTAGGCTAGAATCGGTTGAACCGACCTGAAACCGACCGAAGCGGCTTGGAACCGAGTTGAACCGATTCTAAATCGCTGGAGGAGTTCAAGTTCCTCCAAACTCCGACCCAAAATCGAGGTTTTCTTCCCTCCGTTGGGAGTATTTTTGGTGTATTATCGTTTTGAGAGCTTTTGTTTTCTTCTCTTTTTGGGAGTTTTTTAGTTTGTGTTGTAGGTTGACTCTAGGTTGCTGTATGTCTATACGTAGTCCTCTCTACTAGAGTCAACTATTCAAATTATTCAGTTGTTGGCCATATATTCGGCTGAGTAACTGTTCTCTGGTCTCGTTTATTTATGTTTATTTATATTAAACAAAAAATAATAATAAAAAAAACGTTTGTATCTCACCCGTATATTTTGAGAGTAACTCATGTAGAATTTTATTTTGGCTTATTTAAGCGTATTCCAGCTCGCCCGCTCTCTCTCTCTCTCTCTCGTTCTTCATTTTCTTTTCTCTCTTTTTTTTTTGGGTGTTTTTCTCCTTTTGGCTTTCCTAAGTTTGCATCTTCTTTTCCTATCCAAGATTATCTGATTGATTTCATCCCCAATTTGTTGGTAAGTAAAATCTCATTTAGGTCTATTGATATGAATTTATTCGAAATGGATTATGTCGACAAATTCCTGTTTTTGCTTTTGTTTCTTAACCTTGTTCTGCGAGTTAATATGTGAATTCATGTTGATTGGGATTTGAATAAAAAATTAGGGCCCGAATGGTGGAAATCTGAGTCGATTTTGATCTAGGGTTTTTTTTTGGGGATTGTCATTTCCAGAATTAATCAGATCGATTTGTATAATTTTTGAAAATTTCTCGCATTTTTCTTATCTGGGCAGAGCATGGGATGGATGGATCCAACGGATGAAGGTTATAGCGTTTATTTTCCCTCTATAGTATGCTTTAGTTTAATTTATGAAAATGATCCAGAGTATCTGATTCGGTAATTATACATTTCAATTATGATAATTGTATCTTAGCTGATTTCCATCTCATGTTATAGAAACTATGGTGCAGTAAATTGCTGGAGTTACTGTTCTAAAAACCGTTTCTTAGTTCTTGCTAATTTTGCTAAATGGAAGATTGAAACAAGAATTGGTATGCATGTAGCCTTTTGGATTTGTATATCAAGGATTACAAGGGAAAGCCGATAAATGTTGATTATGAGTGTTATTTGGCTGATCCTGCCCTTTTTGGTATCTTGCTGTTTATTTCAGCTGTGTTTATATGGTTTGGTTATGAATCATTTCATCACATTCTGTGTTTATTGGCAGATGGCAAGGGGAGGCAAAATTGGGTACAAGCGCAAGACCCGGAACAAGGTTCATTTGGAGAAGAAAGGATCGGATGAGTCTGATGAAGATTATAGGGTGGATGAAGGTGAAGACTTCGATGGGTCAGAGGATGAATATTGTTCTTCTCTGGCCGAGGATGATTTAGAGGAAAGCTTAGGGGAATTCGAGGAGGAGGAGGAATGGGTTGACAAGAAAGTTAAGAAGGTTGAAAGGCGTAGTATACGTAAGGGTTCAGAAACGGGAAAGAAAAATGAGGTCAAGAATCCAAGAAGAAAGAAGGCAGTTTATAGTGAAGAAGAAGAAGAAGAAGATGATGATGATGAGGAGGATGAGGATTTTTATTTGGATGATGATGATGATGATGAAGAAGAAGAAAAGTATGTTGATTATGATTCCTCTTGTATTAAGAAAAGAAACAAAAATAAGGTTTCACGTAAAAAAGAGGGTGCGGACGATATTGAATTCCTTAATAGAGAAGAAAAGGATAAATTGACTGATGGAAAACCAATGAAGAAATCACGGGTCTCGAAAATAGATGTCCACACCAATTCTTACATTGAGGATCACGGAGAAAGAGATTCATATCCAGATGACATGGAAGATGACGATTTTGATGATTCCGATGATGAAGATGTCGACTACAATGATTCCGATGACGATGATGATGAGGAATTCAGTCCAGGTGAGATTGCCAAAAGAGCCAGAAGGAAGTCCATCAAAAAACGAGTCCCTAGGAGAAGGAAGAGGAGATCCAAACCCATTAAGGCATCAAGAGGTGAGAAGCCTGCTTCACGAAAAAGGAAACCCATCAAGGGCTGGGTCTGCCGCAAAAGAAGCAAATCAAAAAACAAAAATTCTGATTCCGATTTCATGAGCTCGGGTTCCTCTGATTATGAATACACCATCTCCGAAGAAGAGAGAGAACAGGTGAGAGAGGCTACTGAGTTCTGCAGGAGGTCAACCTCTGGTTCAAGGAGTTCAAGCTCTCAAAAGATAATTAAGGAAGAGGATTTGTTGCCCTCTAAAAATTTGGGCCCGCCTGGAAGAAAGGGCAAGCAGAAGGTAGTAGCAGACATGAATTTGGAGGCCGGAAAGCAGGTATGTGGGATTTGTCTGTCGGAAGAGGCGAAGAGAACAGTCAGGGGAATTCTGAACTGCTGCAGTCATTACTTTTGTTTCGCTTGCATCATGGAGTGGTCAAAGGTGGAGTCTCGCTGCCCTCTTTGCAAGCAGAGGTTTATGACCATCAGCAGAACTGCCCGATCTGATGGTTCGACGGATGCTGTATTTCCAGTTCCCGAGCGTGATCAGGTAACTAAAAGTTGTGACAGGATACACTTTCATTTTGGAAATTTTCTTTCTACAAATCTTTTTCATTTGAGATTGAAATGCGATGATGAAACTTGATCAGATATGGAAACAGTAAACTAATGATTGAATATGGTTAGCTAGTGGAAAGTATGTTAGTCGTTGAAGTGTAGAATTTGTTGTAGAAATGTGTAAATCCCAATTACTGATTGTGAAAGTGATTGTTGGGGGGAAGAAAGTAAAAATGAGTGAACAGTGCAAACTCTGTAATAAGGAGTACAATATAAAATATCATTTTGCAGAAAAAAAAAAAAAAATCAGTTCGAAAATCTCCAACTTTTCCCAATTGTTTCCTTCAAGCTCTTCTTTACCCCCACCTAACCAAAAAAAGTAAATAAAATGCACATGCAGGTTTATCAGCCGTCCGAAGAGGAGCTACAGGGCTTCCTCAACCCATATGAGCACGTCCTCTGCACCGAGTGCCATCTGGGTGGGGACGATGCCCTCATGCTCCTCTGTGACCTCTGTGACTCCCCCGCGCACACATACTGCGTGGGCCTCGGCCACCACGTCCCTGACGGCAACTGGTACTGTGACGGCTGCCGCCCCACTGCCCTCGCCTCCTCAAACGCCCACACCAGTTCACCGCCTGTCGCTGCTGTTCGTGAGACATTTGACCTGAACGAGGCTTATGTGCCCGACACGCCATTAAGTCCTCCCGCTCAGTCGCCGAGGCATCCAATACATCCTGTCTGGAGCACTCAAGCGGCTCCCCCGGCCTCGGGATCTGCTGCAGTTACTCTATTTTCGAGGCGGAGGATACAGAGGCAGATACATCAGCTTCTCAACAGCCGGAGTCGGAATTTGAACAGTAATGAAGGGCCGGCGGCCACCGGAATCAATCTTTTCAGGTCATCCATCGGTCAGAGTGTTCCTCAGAATGTATATTCCCAGGGAAGAGGGAATGCTAATGCAGGCTTATTGTATGGTAGAGGGGATGGGCATCAGGGTCAAGCTTCTTCTTCATCATCTGTTCGGTCTTTTGTTGGGCTAACGCAAACTGGGTTTCCTGCGGCCAATGGGAGAGAGGTTGGGGGTTTGAGCCATCAGCACTTACGTCATTGAACGGGATGCAAACACATGGACGGATGGTAGAATGAAACCTCGTCAGCTTAGAGAGGTGAGACAATCTTTTCTTAGAACAGAACTGTTATCCTTTTTGTTATGGGTATTAACAAATTTCAATTGTTACAAGTCATTTAAAACTGGTTCTTCAGTGATGTCGACTGTGCTGTAGGTATGCATAATTCGGGTGAGTGGAACTAACGTTAAGCCTGAAAGTTTTATAGCTTTGTAAATGGCTGCTTCTGCATGAAACTGGAATAGTCGTGTTCTGGGCTATATATTTCATTGCTTTGTTTGAGTTCCTATCCAAAATGAAAAAGGAGGAAAAAAGACAAGTGTTGAGATCCTTAGAAGTGTTATTTACTTAATTTATTTTTAACTGGTCCTGTGTCTGTATACTTTCCTTCAATAGTGAAATCTTGATATCCTGACCTGAAATGTCTTCTGTTGTCGAGTACGAAAGTTATGCGAGTTTCTCATGCTTGTGCACAAAAATTCACCCGTTTTTGTTATTGTTCGGTTGGGAATTCCAAACTCTGGCAGGATAGGCAATATAGTACCTCCGAGAACATGTTGAAGACGTTTACACAAACCATTTTAGCTGCACATGAACATCTGAGCTTGTCCAGAACGAGCACTATACTTAATCAAGTGAGCAGGATTTGTCAGCATGCCTGCTGTACATACATGATTATTTACCAAGTGACCACTGCCATGATTAGCCCTTTGGACAAATGTGTCCCGGCTTTGAAGGAGAAAAATGTGCGCCTGTCCTGACCTTAAAGGTATTAGGTGGGCTTCGGCATTGAGTGTGTTGCTCGGGCTTTTAGTATTCTTTCAGTCGAATGTCTTTCTGTTCAGGGCTTCGTCATTTAGGATTTATTTGATTTTTAGTCGACCGATATCATCTACACAGAAATAGACTAGCTTTGGTTACTGACAAGTGACATATATTGTTGGTACATAATCCCAGGAAACTGGCCATTGATTGAGTACACTTCCTTTTTTCTATTTATTGGGTTGTGAATTTTTCAGCACCTTTGCTATCTGGAGACCTTGTAAACCTTTTTCATTTGTAGTAGTGCTTGTCATTCTTCATTTCAGTTTCCACATCCATAACAATCTTCGGATTTGATCCTTTTTTTTTTTTTAATTCCAACCAAATCAAAATTTTATTCTCTTCTTCACTATAATTATCAAATGAATTTGAAGTTTTTGTGAACGTACATATTTTTTTAATCAAACTACACCAATCCCTGCACACAGTCACTCCGCTTTGCCTTCTCCTCATCTTTGACCGACATAGGAGGCTCCTTTGTTCTGTATGCAAAAGAATGAAATCGATAATAACAACAATAACAATCTTCTACTTGAGAAGAGACGCCAACCGACGACCGCCGCGATGCAAACCGTAGGACCGCCGCGACCAGCCGTCAGGCGCGACGCCCGGCGCCATCTCAGCCGTCTGACGAGCCCGATGCCGCGATTTCTCCATCCGTTCGTGATCCCGATTCATAGAATAATGTAAACATAAAATTTTCAAAACAGCTATAAAGTCTTCTATTTACCAAACAATATTTATTACAATCACTTATCCGCTATGAGTTAATAGCCAAACAGTGCCTTCTTATGAAATATGATACTTTTTTGTAGTGGTCAAAACCTATTCTAAAGCATGTATGGAAACTGTTGATATATGTCAAAAAGTTCAATATTTAATATTATGCCATATATCTTTCAAATGTAAAGTCAAGATTCTGCTCATGCCAACCTCGACTAGCGAACAATGTTGATAGGCATGGAAGTTCTTTCAGAAGAGATTAATTGTTGATATTTGAGTTTTTAATACATTAAGTTAAAATATATTTGAAAGTAATATAGTTTTTGTTATTTTGATATAGTTTGTTAATTAATTTCGTGTGTTTAATTTCCTACTAACTTGTATTTTATTTGTAAGCATATTATTAATAAATTGTTTGAACAAATAATTATTTAGATCAAATTATCATAATACATTAAATCCTACAAAACACAATATTTAATTCTATATTATGAACTTGTGGTTAGTTCAGTAATTAATAGAACATTTATAAATTATAAAATTGCTATGAGCTAATAGTCAAACAGTGTCTTATGATGGAATATGATACTTTTTTGCAGTGGTCAAAACCTATTCAAAAGCATGTATAGAAATTGTTGATCTATGCCAAAAAGTTCAATATTTAATATCATGTCATATATCTTTCAAATGCAAAGTCAAGATTCCGCTCATGCCAACTTCGACTAGCGAACAATGTTGATAGGCATGGAAGTTCTCTCAGAAGAGATTAATTGTTGGTATTTGAGATTTTAATACATTAAGTTAAAACATATTTGAAAATAATATAGTTTTTGTTATTTTGATATAGTTTGTTAATTAATTGTGTTTAATTTCTTACTAACTTTTATTTTATTTGTAAGCATATTATTAATAAAATCTTTGAACAAATAATTATTTAGATCAAATTATCATAGTACATCAAATCCTACAAAACACAATATTAAATTCTATATTATGAACTTGTGGTTAGTTCAATAATTAAGAGAACATTTATAAATTATAAATTTGCTATGAGCTAATAGCCAAACAAAGCCTTATGATGGAATATGATACTTTTTTGCAGTTGTCAAAACCTATTCTAAAGCACGTATGGAAATTGTTGATATATGCAAAAAAAGTTCAATATTTAATATCATGTCATATATTTTTCAAAAGCAAACTCAAGATTCCACTCATGGCAACCTCGACTAGCGAACAGTGTTAATACGCATGGAAGTTCTTTCAAAGAGATTATTGTTGGTATTTGAGTTTTTAATTCATTAAGTTAAAATATATTTGAAAGTAATATAGTTTTTGTTATTTTGATATAGTTTGCTAATTAATTTCGTGTGTTTAATTTCCTACTAACTTGCATTTTATTTGTAAGCATATTATTAATAAAATCTTTGAATAAATATTTATTTAGATCAAATTATCATAATACATCAAATCCTACAAGCCACAATATTTAAATCTATCTTATGCACTTGTAGGTAGTTCAATAATTAATAGAACATTTATAAATTAAAAATTTGCTATGAGCTAATAGCCAAACAGAGCCTTATGATGGAGTATGATACTTTTTTTCAGTGGTCAAAACCTATTCGAAAGAATGTATGGAAATTGTTGATTTATGTCAAAAAGTTCAATATTTAATATCATGTCATATATCTTTCAAATGCAAAGTCAAGATTCCGCTCATACCAACCTCGACTAGGAAACAATGTTGATTGGCATGGAAGTTCTTTCAAAAGAGATTAATTGTTGGTATTTGAGATTTTAATACATTAAGTTAAAACATATTTGAAAATAATATAGTTTTTGTTATTTTGATATAGTTTGTTAATTAATTGTGTTTAATTTCCTATTAACTTGTATTTTATTTGTAAGCATATTATTATTAACAAAATCTTTGAACAAATAATTATTTAGATCAAATTATCATAATACATCAAGTCCTATATAACACAATATTTAATTCTATATTATGAACTTGTGGTTAGTTCAATAATTAAGAGAACATTTATAAATTATAAATTTGCTATGAACTAATAGCCAAACAAAGCCTTATGATGGAATATGATACTTTTTTTGCAGTGGTCAAAACCTATTCTAAAGCATGTATGGAAATTGTTGATATATGCCCGAAAAGTTCAATATTTAATATCATGCCATATATCTTTCAAAAGCAAACTCAAGAGTCCGCTCATGGCAACCTCTACGCGAACACTGTTAATACGCATGGAAGTTCTTTCAGAAGAGATTATTGTTGTTATTTGAGTTTTTATTCATTAAGTCAAAATATATTTGAAAGTAATATAGTTTTTGTTATTTTGATATAGTTTCCTAATTAATTTGGTGTGTTCAATTTCCTACTAACTTGCATTTTATTTGTAAGCATATTATTAATAAAATATTTGAATAAATATTTATTTAGATCAAATTATCATAATACATCAAATCCTACAAAACACAATATTTAAATCTATATTATGCACTTGTAGTTAGTTCAATAATTAAGAGAATTACAAAACACAATATTTAAATCTATATTATGCACTTGTAGTTAGTTCAATAATTAAGAGAACATTTATAAATTATAAATTTGCTATGAGCTAATAGCCAAACATAGCCTTATGATGGAATATGATACATTTTTGCAGTGGTCAAAACCTATTCTAAAGCATGTATTGAAATTGTTGATATACGCCAAAAAGTTCAATATTTAATATTATGTCATATATCTTTCAAATGCAAAGTCAAGATTCCGCTCATGCAAACCTCGACTAGCAAACAATGTTAATAGGTATGGAAGTTCTTTCAGAAGAAATTAATTGTTGGTATTTGAGTTTTTAATTCATTAAGTTAAAATATATTTGAAAGTAATATATTTTTTGTTATTTTGATATAGTTTGCTAATTAATTTCGTGTGTTTAATTTCCTACTAACTTGCATTTTATTTGTAAGCATATTATTAATAAAATCTTTGAATAAATATTTATTTAGATCAAATCATCATAATACATCAATTCCTACAAAACACCATAGTAAAATCTATATTATGAACTTGTGGTTAGTTCAATAATTAAGAGAACATTTGTAAATTATATAAATTTTTCTATGAGACGATTGACACATTAGGCATATCAACCCGGACACCATAAGTCATGTCTTAATTTAATGTGGCTAATAACTTCTAGAAATCAATAGAAATAAGCCGTAAAATTAACAAATACGTTTGAAGAGAAATATATTGATATAGATATATTTGCTTAGTTTGACGTAATTTATATCATGAATTAACTAAATACACATCACACAGTCTATGAATTAAAATTTATATTAAGTGTTAAATAAAGTTTATAAACATAATTCAAAACGAAATTGTAAATTCTATATTTAAAAGATAAATTTTATACGTATTACTAGTCTAGCTAAAAGATGCAAATCACAGAAACACGAGACAACAACAAAAATAAATAAATAAATAAATAAATACCAAAAACAGAAACCAAACACATCCAATCCCAGTGCAAACTACCATTAGATTTAACAACATAAATTTTACATTTTATTGGTACAAACTTATTTCACTTTCCATCTCAATACAAGTCCGGCCGGGCATAGGTGGCCGCGAAATAGGCCGCCCGTCTTGCAGTTACCCCAGCATTTTCCACCTCATAATTTAGCAGCACTGCCAAAATTATAAATTTTCATCAAGCATCATCATAGATGACACCAATCCCTGCACAAAGTCGCTCCGCTTTGCCTTCTCCTCCTTATCTTCAACCGACATAGGAGGCTCCTCAATTGTTCTGTATACAAAAGAATGAATTCAATAATAATAACAATAAACAATCTTTTATTTCTTCGACGGCAGCAGAGATTTCAAAGCATATAAGAATTCACGAATTGATCAATAAGCACAGAAAATAGAGTCTTAGGGTCCCTAAGGAAGTTGAAACAAATTGATGACCTCTCTGGTATGCCATTTTTCACACTTTTCTTGGTTAAAGTTGCCTCAGCTGAAGTGTGTGATGGGACAGTTTCATAATCTTCAGCCATAGGCAAAATGAATGATGACAACAATGGGTCGGCTGCAGCATTGTTGGATGACCCAATGGAAGAAGAAGGCCCTCCGAGAAGGGATTGAAAATTCCCTTCTCTGAGCTCCCGCCTCAAGAAAGAGAGAGTCGAATGTGCACCTGCTTTTCGTGATTTCCTCTTGCGCTGCAAGTACTATGTAGTCAAGGAACTCAAGAGAAATGGTGAATGGTATCTATGGCTTGACTAACAGAAACAGCTGATTGAGCCTGACAAAATCATGATCTTTCGTAAAAATTAAAATTTCAGCCCGTCGTTACTTGAGATAGGTTAAAAAAACATGTAAAAAGAAAATTTTCGAACCAAGTCCAAACCCATCTTTGGCCAGGTACAAATCAGACCAAATAAACCAAAAAAAAAAAAAAGTGATTCAAGAATCAAGGGAGAGAAATACAAATGATCCAGAAGCTGCAAATTATATGCTCAAAATGAAAAAAAAAAATGTGAACTGGGATAAGAAAAAGGATATCTTGAATATGTTTCCATGTTGCAAGGTTATATGGGCTACCATGTCGACTCCCACCCTCATTGAACAAATTGGACAAACCTGCAAAGATAAAACATTATAATTATCACTTCAAACGAATGACATCTGAAATCATCATACGAGTTATGCACCATACAAGGAAACCAAGCATGATCAAGCCTTCAAGAGAAAATTTCTTAACAAAATTGGTAGTGTTCAAGAATGATCGAGGTAGACAAGTAAACTCAAGAGCTATATATTGACTCAATCATAAGAAATGATAAAAAAAAGAGTGTTAATAGAAGGAGCTTCTAAGCTGTTATGATCTTTTAGAAGTTGTTATCTCCTTTCTCATCATGACCTCAGAGTCGCGAGAGTCCATACAATAAACTGTCTGCTCCTCCACATAGGAATAAAAGGAAGAAAAAGCACACTCAAACACATAGACACTGCCATCTCCACATATAACTAATTAAATAAAACTACTAAAATTTTTTTCGGGAAGTTACAGATGAATATCATCTAATAAAGTTTCAGTTTTGAAAAACAAACACGGAAACAGGTTAAGCATTTTCATCTTACAAATACACCTCAAATATTTTATTCCTAATAACTGAATCATTATGTACAAAATATAGAACTTCACCCCATTCTTGGCTTCTACAGGATGCTCATCATCTATGTGGCAACAGAGTCCCACGATGTCGAAATAATCTGAACAAAAAGGACACGGATATTCCTCCCTTATATCATCATCCATGTCGATTTCCTCAAACCCCATGAGCATTTCCACGTCAATACTATCCCATCTCGTTCCTACAAAAATATCGAAACACAAGTAAGAAAATCAATGTTCGGTCTTAAATTTCAGACACATCACGCCAAACATAAATTCAAAAGTCAATATTGCATTTACACACAGGATTACAATTTGGCATCAGCTGTCGAAGTGTAGTTAGCTCCAAACACAATTCTTCATATAATTTTTATTCAACATACATATCCCACGACTAAATACACAAATTCGCACCAAACTTGCAAAACCCACAAACTCAAAAGGCTGATACAATATTTTCAAGTAAAAGTTACAAAACAACAACAAAAATCAACAAACCCTTGAACCCAACATGACTTTACAGCCATCCTTCACGTAAATCCCACTACAAAAATGGAATCTTTAACGAATACTTAAATCGGCTCACAAACAATATAAGAAACCCAGCTGAAAAAAATCATTATTCTTGAAGAAAAAAAACAAAAAATAGGATGAGCCGTTTACCAGATCGAGATTGTAGCGCAGATTGGTAGCGCTTGGAGGCGGAGGACAAACGAGCAGCCCAAGAATTAGCATCCATGGCTTTAGCTTATGTGATAATCTTACAATTTAAACAGAGAACAGAAAAGGGTTCGTGAATCTGAGCTCTTTTCTTGCAAGGAGCTGATGAAAACTAATTACTGAGCCTGATAGACCACAACTTTTTCTTGATTTGTTAAGATTTTGTGAGGAGCCAAATGAGATTGGATAGTGGGGAAGATTGAGAGAGAAAGGGAAAATGAGAAGAGGGGTTTCTTGGCTTTTGCACGGTGAAAATGAAAATCCACCGAAATCTGAAAGGGGGCAGAACGTTCTCTTCCACACCTTTTATTTTTTGTTTTCTTTTTTTTCTTTTTACTTTCCTTTCTTTGGATTTTATGTTTTCTGTTGACAGCTTTGAGTGCTTGACTTGCTGCGTTTGTCTTAATTTACTTAATGACAGATCTAAAGATTAGATTTTGAACGGCCCTCCACGGGTGAAACCGTGGCTTGAGTTGAGCGTGATGTTCTCGAAGTAGTCCATCCTCGTAATATCGTAGTCTAAGATTTTTGTCTCCTTTTTTATACCAAAAAAAAAAAAAAAAAAAAGATTTTGAGCAAACTTTATTATTGTATCATTTGCCACATCAAAGGACATTACTAAGCCATCTAATACGAGTGAATTGTATAATATAAATACAACAAGAAGAAGATGTTGAATCCGACGAAGTGAGGTCGGCTATATATATTATACGCGATTGAAATACATATTTTCATCCAAATTTAAATGATTTAAATCATTTTTGATTGTTTTTTTTCTTCCAAATGTTCTTAAGTGTTACCCTTACGTTATTGATTTTAAGATTTTTAATATTCTCACCGATGCTTCGAATTTTCTGCTTTTAATTCTAATGTTTCTGTCATTCGACACCTGGGGCCTCGAAGTCTCTCCTCCGCACATGTTCAAATCATTTTAATAGTGATTCTCTCATTTTCTATTCTACGGGCGATACTTCAATTTTATTTTTAATACTTTCATTTCTAATCTTATCTTATCTAACATAGTGTGTCCACACACCCATCTCAACAATCTCATATCTATCACTATCATTTTCTTTTATCATTTTTATATTTAATAGCTCGAATCCATAAAACATCGTCGGTCGAATGACTGTTCAATAAAAGTTGCCTTTCAAATTCACTTGTAATTTACGATCACAAAGTATTGAAAACGTGCTCCTCCGCTTGTTCCTTCCCGATTGAATTCTATGTATTGTATCTTTATACTTCCTCCTATTTTTATTTTGTCGTTTTGAGAAGCAACACCTAATTAATAATTTTTTTTTCTTGCCAATATTAACCATATAATGGATGTTATTGGAAAAAAATGGAGATGGAATATGAAAAGACATTGTATATTAATAGAGGGTTAAAAATGAAAAAATATTAACAAAATAGCCAAAATGACATTTATTTAATTAATGATCAATTAAGCTAGAATGACAAAAAAAATAAAAATAGGAAGAAGTATGTGTTATGATTTAGTGTTCAATTTGCATTCTCCAATCTAAAATGTGTGTTTCGAGAAAAAATAAAATAAAATAAAATAAAAAATAAAAAATAAATCTCAACGCCCTTAAAAGTGGGTCCCACCTGAACCGGCTTCCATTTTCATTCTTTTCCTTCTTCTGCTGCAACTTCCCGTACAGAAATTCACCACCAAAAATATCAGCCCGAAGTTTATCCCGGGCCTTTTCACGTTGTCCTTGATCACATTTTCGGATTCATCTGAAATCCAGCAGACCTAATGAATCAGTCCCCATTTCGTCACTCATGGATCTGATCTAAAATTAAACCCCTTTCCTAGTTTGATTTTTATACTTCTTGTAGATTCTGTAGAAATCTTTTTGATCCACACTTACTGATGGCGACGAGGAACAGGACGATTTTGTACAGAAGGTATAGAGATGCTTTGAAGAGCGTCAGGGTTCCAGCGGGCTCGTCGCCATCGAGCTCCGGCGGCGGCGGCGGAGGTCCCGTGATCGAGCTGTCGACTTCTTCTTTGCTTAACCCTAACAGATCCTACGCCCCTCTAAGTACTGAAGATCCTGGAACATCCAGGTATTTTGATTCAAAATGCTTGTTTTGTTCGAACAGTGAAATTGTTTGCTGAATAACTTCCCTTTTTCCATTATGTGATTTAGCTCTTTGTGCATCTTGATGTAGATAAATTAGTACAATTGACGAGTCCCGGAATCGGGTGTGATTGATTTGTCTAAGTGGATTAAATTTCTATAATTATGTGCAGCAGACATGCTTTAGTTCTATCAAAATGTGAAGTTTAGTTTTGAGGGCTCTCTTGAGCGGGGAAAACTATATTAGGTAGAAAGCAATGTTATTCGAAATCTTCAAAGCCTAGCAGAACATTTCCTTTCAAATTTCAGTAATAGTAATCCACCGAGAAGGGAAAAGCTAAGCTGAATGTATGTTTTTGTGTACTTCTGGTGAATTTTAGTATGTTCCAAATATTCGCTACCATGACTTGCTCAAATTGTTGGACTCGGTACGTATTTATTGGGTAAAGAATTCCTGGAGCAGTAAGGGCTTCATCAAAATGGCATGAACTGCAGAATGCTGAGAATTCTCAGCTTCTCATCTAATTGTTTCACAAAATTTTATTTTATAGCATATGCTTAATCTATATTACGATCTGACTTGGATATCAATTGTCATAGATGGTGTAGTCCACATCTGGATGTGACTTTCATTGTTCCTCAAGTTTCATTCTTCCTGATGGACTCAATTTATTCGATTAGAGGTATTTTTCCATATGTATGAGAAACATAATGAAATTGTTAGGGCTGTGATAGTAAGACTGTCATATTATTGGGGTCAATTAGTTTTCGAAGATAATCAGTTTATGGTGCCTATAGGTGAATAAAAATGGTAACTTATTTGTTTAGCTCAAAGTGGGAAATGGGAACTCTGATTCTCTATGTTCTGGGATGTTCGAAATTAAATTTTTCAGTTGAATCCATGAGGACTGTCTGAGAATGTTTGTTTTGGTGCCGGGATAAAGCTGAATATGAGTTTGATTACGTTCTCTTTTACAAACAAAGTAATGGGTAGAAGTTTCAAATTTATGATGTGAGCTTTTCTGCGAGAGCACGTGGATTCTTTATGCATAATGATGAACACTGTATAATTAAGTTCATGTATTTTCTAGAGCTTGCTTATGCAATCACGTGGAAGAACAGCTAAGGCAGAAAATGTGCATCTTTCATGATTACATGTACTGAATTGAGTATACATAATAGATTACATTGATTGAACAAACTAATGGTCCTATATTTATTGACTGAATGTCTTAACTACCTTATCTGATTCTAAAAGAGTCTTGGACTCTTTTGGATTAGGTAATTATCAATAGTGAAGGAAAAGTTGCAGCAATGCCCTTCAAATTAAACTATTATATTAAGAGATTCAATGGAAAACTCCATTTCCACGATTTCCGATGTGATAAACTCCAAATAAGAAAATCAAGTTCACATCTCGCACAGATAAGAAAGATGCCAGTAAAACATATCATAGTTTTATAACTATCATCCATATGGATTTTTGTTGTTGGTTTTCAGTTTTGTATTTGTTGTTGTTTTTCCTACGAAGGTGGTGTTGGTTGGCCACTAAACATTTCTAAGACATCCAGAGCCCTGTGAAATCTGATAAAACTATAGAATAAAATAGTGCATATGCTTTCATTATTAGGTTATTGTGAAGCTATAATTTTTGGTACTCTCGTTCCTTTTCTTATCCTTTTCAAAGCAATGGGAACCTATATTTTTTAAGAAAAATAAGATTTGTTTAAGAACTGTAGTTACCATCATTATTTAATGAAAAAATCTCTATTAAGCTATTTTTGTGCCGCGTGCACATAGTTGGAACTGAAATTGTAAGTTTTTTACATTCTAAGATAAGAATACATTAACGTGAAAACAATCAAAGACAATGTTTGTTTTAGTAGATTAGCTCTAGTTAGCGACTTTGTTGGGAAAATGAACAAAAAGCACAGTTTACGATTATAAGGTAATACTTTGTAGTGACTTCATGACTGCTATTGAAGACCAAGATGAAAGTGAAACCATTTGTGAGATTTGCGAAGTGCATGAACCCTAAACATGTTCTTGTGTTCTGGTTAACCTGTGAAACATTTGTTAACAGCTATCCTGTATGCCTATCTTGGAGTGTGAGCTGGAAGTTGATAATATATACTCTCCTGCTTTGAAGAGTACAGTAATGAATATATCCCTGAAAATGCTTCTGTGGTGCTGGGTACTCACATAATCACATGTTATAGATACAACTAACACAAGGAAGGGTATAATATGTATCAAATGCACCTAAGAAGTGGTTAATGCGTTGTAGGAGAGATAGGTTTTAATAATATTGTTATGTGAAGAAAATGGATCTCGATGAAAAATGCTAGATAGAAATCAAACATTGTTCTGATTCATATGAAACATTCTTTTTATTTCTCTTCTTTAGTAGTTGGTTCATCATTTCCAAAAATCCAACTACAATATGATGAAACTCTGTCTTCCATAGTGCTGAGGAGTCTGTTGAAATGCTATTGTTCACAAAAGTATTAGTTAATGGTACATTTCTTAGGATCCTAATCCAGCTATGGCCATCAGAAATGTATACCACGTGTAGACTTTACCATTTACTAAAACAAACAAATTAAAACACTTCTAGAAACCTGTATACAAATAGAAAACGATGTAGAAAATTGTCAAAACATTCCTTTCCTAATATATTGGGGTATTTTCTTGTTGCAGTAGGGGTACAGTTGCAGTAGGTTTACCACCAGCTTGGGTGGATTTATCTGAAGAAATAGCAGCTAACGTACAGCGTGCAAGGGGAAAGATGACTGATTTGGCAAAGGCTCATGCTAAGGCCTTGATGCCTTCATTTGGAGATGGTAAAGAAGATCAACGCCAGATTGAGGCACTAACTCAAGAGATAACTGATCTGTTAAGAAAATCAGAGAAGAGATTGCAAAGACTCTCTGCAGCTGGGCCCTCCGAGGATTCTAATATTAGGAAAAATGTCCAGGTATGACCTGATAATCTCTGCTTCCTGAACTATACGTGATTGCCAATGAGTAATTATGGTAATCTTTTGTTTCATGTCTTGTATGGAACTATAATTAATTGCATTACTCATATAATCAACCTGACTTTATTTCTTCTAAATGTATATATTTTCTGCTAAAACAAAGGAGTTAGTTCTTGTTAGGTGAATTTTTTACATATGCTATGTAATGAGGAACTTTCTTGACTAATTCTGTATCCTTGATGTGAATGCGGACATCTAGTTTCTGAAATTGAAGAGAATATGATATAACACTGAATGTAACATGTGTCACCTTGCAATATTAGCAGTTTCGTCCTTTTTCTGCCAGAAAATTATTGTGAACTTAAAAGTTTGTATTTTTATACATCGGAGTATTGTTTTAAGAGATAATGTATTTCTTTGACAGAGATCTTTAGCTACCGACCTTCAGACCTTATCACTGGAGTTACGTAGGAAACAATCCACATATCTGAAACGGCTTCAGCAGCAAAAAGAGGTATGATAATAACAATATTCTTTCTGTACTTTGTTTAATTATTTATGTGCCAGGATATCTTGATATCAACTTATATTTTGGAAATTTAAATTTCTTATGCAAATAACAAGTGTTTCTTTTGAAATTTCACCTTCTGAACTACCTAAAGCTGCCATCTTGGTGAATGGGCTGTCATATTACAGTCATTATTATATTATACCAAGTTCTTAAAATTGTGTCATTTTTTAAGGGTCCTGATGGTGTGGACTTGGAAATGAACTTAAATGGGAGCAATTCTAGAAGGGATGAAGATGATCTGGATGACATGGTAAGTGGATTGAGCTTCGTTTGTATTTGATAGATAGTTTATACTCAGTAATTTGCTTGCTCGGTGCACTGGGGCAGTGGAAAAAACATTGTGCAGATTTATGTGATGGCATGTTGTAACCCAGACCCTCCCTTAGATGTGTTTTCGGTAATGATGCATCCACACATTCAAAAATTGAGGTAATTTCAACCAATGCCACTAGCAAACTGGGTAGAACTCCTTATACCCGGTGCAAATAGCCTTAGGGAGCCACCACTAAACAAATCTAACTTTAGTCTTTTCACAAAATTTAACATACCAGATTTACATAATATGTTCTTTAAGTTGGTTCACCGTTATCGTGATGTAGTTACTACAATAGTACAATGAAAGTTCGCTTTAATCTCTCTTGAACTGATTTAGTAACATGGTGTAATACAGAGTAATACATAAACCTCTGTATGACGGTGGGCTGGTCTTTGCGATAGACCATATAAGAATAGGGTCTTAAAATAATGTCAGCTTTTAGATATATCACTAGCATATAAGCTCAGAACTTTGGGTATGTGCTCCATTTTTTTCTATTAAAACTATTTGTTTGAGATGCAACCTTGTTGTTTATGCTATGGATGCATCACGTAACCTTGCATATGTTGCAATTACTTTGCATAGGGATTCAGTGAGCATCAAATGGCCAAACTAAAGAAAAGTGAGGCATTCACAGCTGAAAGGGAGAGGGAAATTCAGCAGGTTCTTTGAAGTTATAGTTGTTTCCGTGTTATGCAAAATGCGTAGATTTTTAATTGGCAATTTATTGGTCCTAGGTGGTGGAATCAGTCAATGAACTCGCCCAAATTATGAAGGATTTGTCAGTTTTGGTGATCGATCAGGTTGGATGGTCGCACTTGCAATAGTTCCTCTTGCGATAAAAATTTCATGTTAATTTTGTTTTCTCCATGCAGGGTACTATTGTCGACAGAATCGATTACAATATAACAAATGTTGCAGCCTCAGTTGAAGACGGGCTGAAACAGCTGGAGAAGGTGCATTCTTCAATGTTACCTCTCTTCTGTAACTTTTTCTTCCTTGTGAAAGCTATGTACTTTGCGAATTCAGTTGATAATATGTTTGAAATGAACTGGAATTGCAGGCAGAGAAAAGTCAAAAACATGGTGGGATGGTTATGTGCGCCACTATTCTGGTTATCATGTGCTTTGTTATGCTTGTTCTCTTAATTTTGAAGACGATTCTATTTTAAGCACCAAGCACAACATCCTCCCGGAAATTTTTATTACACATACACTCGGGGCAGACTCACAATTTATCACAGCAGTGAGTGAGATCCCCAGTTTTCCCCCAGCTATAGACGTTATCTTATATACCATTCTTGAGAACTCAAGCTTATTCCTTGCTTCGCCCTCTTTCATATCTTTTTTTATCCCTTTTATGTTAAAAAAAAGTCTCAATGCAATGATATAGACTTGCTTTTGGGACACTCTTGTATAGTGTGGAGGAGGATGTGATATTGATTCATTTTTTACCCGGAAATATTGTTGTAATATTTGTTCACAAAATATTGGCCTTTGGTTCTAGTTGATGAGGCGAGTTATTCTTGTGTATGTATGGATTAATTCATTCATTCATTTCTTGAAGTGGGAAAACTGAAAATCTGAATTTCGGCACAACCATTGTTTCTCGTTCTTCATGATTGTATAAGGAACATGTCTTGGTACTATATTCATGGTTAGAAATGCAACTGTGTCTCCGAAAGGAGTTGGTCAGCCTCCAATTCAATAATCGTCTTTCTCATCGTCCAGCTTGCTAATAAATAGACTGTCAAGACACCAATGTGATAAGGAAGTTCCATTTACTCGTTCTGATAGAGCTCTTGCTGGAAGTTAGTTATGGTAAGTTCAACTTCATTTTTGCATACTGATACAATAATAAAACGTCGAGTTGAAACTGACAACTCTGAAATGGAGAATAATGGCGAGTCAATCTGCATTATGGCAATGTATATCTCGATATACTCTGTATAAGTTTGTGAGGACAAGAATGAAAAAATCGCCTCGATATACATTACAAGTTTTTAAGGACGAATGAAAACTAAAGAAAAAAAATATCTCAATGACACAACTACGAATGTGCCAAATATCGAATTGGTTTTCGGCCAAATGGTAAAAAGAATTGGTTATCTTTGCTGGTGGTACAAGACATTGCTTGGTGGTGAGGTGTATTTTTTCGAGCTAGAAACCCGAGTTCTGAATCCCATGCGTGTGTTGTGTTGGGAGGTTTTCTTGGTTTATCACTCAGACATTGTTTCTCTTGATTAGTTGGATATTAAAATAATGTAATAAACAATAAGAAATTGACAGAGGCAGTTGAGTTGAGCCTTAAACTCTGATGCATGAGACTGCAAATAGGAACAGTAGTCAAACTACAGCCCTTTGCTTTCAACCTTCATCGGTAATAACTTCACAATATACCGAATTCGCCTGACTTGTGACAGAAGAATATAAAAACCCCATTTTGTTCGGGAATACAGATGAATATGAACAATACACAATTTAAGCAAGCGTGCGTCAATTTAATCCCACATCCAACTACAACACGGAGCTTTTCAATTTGTATTGGACTGCTTTTCAGACGATGATGAAGGATGAACAATATATAATTTTAGCACGGCATGCTTTGATCTAATCCCATGCCCTGTTTTACTTAGAAACAATCTCAAGACAATATAACAATTAAAATACGATTTGAATATGACCATCAAAAAGAATGAGATGAATTTGCTAGCTGCAACAGTATGTCTAGCCAAGACTACTCATTTCTCTCATCAAATTCTGAAACTTCGATCAATTGCCCTACCTAAAGGACCCTTGAATGAGGCCCCACATCGGTAGCTTGAGATCATATGTTAACCTCTGGAGAATAAGTGCCAGCGAGTGTACATCCGATAGGGCTCTATGAGCCGGCCCAATCAATGGAATGCCATAATGTTCCCGGAGTGCTTGAAGTGATGTTTTTGGAGGATCTTTCGATCCTGAATATGTCAAACAATATGTATATTACAATCACTTTGTGTAATTATGTAAATATGGAAAAATGCGTATATTTACAGAGAGAGAGAGAGAGGGAGAGAGAGAGCAGGTCAAAAATAAAATAAAAAAATAAAAAAGTAACCTTTCAACTTCATGACGGAACGAGCCAAAGGAAGGGTGTCAGCAAAAAGCCAGTCTTGGGGAATCTCATAAGAACATCGAATAAACCCATTCTTCAGAAAGGGTACATCAAAAGTGCGGGCATTATGAGATACAAAAACCACAACTCCACCAGGTAGCTGACGACTTTGAACATACCGCAACAAGATAGGAATAAATTCCTTCATCCTACAAAAACAACAAAGCCAGAGTAAGAAAACCCGGAGCATATCTTCAGAATTTCTGTCAGACATGAAGAATTTGTATTAAAAAAAAAAGGGCAAAATTATGTTTTTAATATTCCCTTCATCACAATAGAGATGCTTGTTTTTCAATAGTCCCTCCATCACAATCAAAATGTAACATTATACAAAACAGCTACATTCTCAAAATTAACTCTCCCAACAATGAAGATGACTGTTTTTTTAGACTAAGCGACAATGTAAACAAGCAATATCTTACGTAAGATACGGAGAGCTTTTAGTCTTTCTTTGCAGATTAAATAATTATAAGAACACACATGCACATACAGCATCAGATCAAGAAATATCATTATTTGCTAAATTCCTGTATTATAAATTACCTAGGCACGTCGCGTCTGTTAACCATTCGGCTCGAGATCCCGTGAATATCCTCGTTAGGCACATCGCGCTCCGGATTTACTAGTGTTTGGAAGGTGCTGTTTTCACCTCCTCTAAGATCTTGGCATGCAAACTCAATGATCCTGTCCCTTTCCCTGCTGAACCCAGTCGTCTCAATATCGAAGCAAATGACGGTTGCTAGTTTGGCCAACTCCATGTAATACTCATCAGATTCTACTTCCTTTGTTTGTTTTTTATACCTACTAAAGTTAGTGTTTGTAATCTCAGTGATCTTGTTTCTAATACCTACTTTCCTGCTCCTCTGTTCCTTGGTAGTTTCTGAGTTGAAGCTTTTTGACTCACGGCATATCTCGGGAATGATCTCATGCATGTGACTCTTGTTGCTAATCGAGCTGTCATTGGCTCCTGATTCATTAGTTTTTATGGTTCGTCTGGTCCACCTGACGGACTCACGTTCCAGGTCGTGGTTTTTCGAACAAAGAACACTGTAACATGAACTGCTACCGGTTGTTCTACCTAACTTGTAGTAACTATCCCACAGGGAATTACCTATGGAGTGAACTCTGCATCTAGGAAGTTGCAAGAGAGAGAAGCACATTGTGGTTGTTTTCATCCAAAGCAAATGAGTTCAAATGGAGAAAGAATGAAATTGTATCAAACCTACATAGGATGATACAAGGAAATGAAAGGAATTTATAACATAGGAGTAATTAATGTTCCAACATGATAAGTGAACATTATAATAGATTACACAACTAGCATGCAGAAGTTTCTATCAATCAGATAAATAACAACATTACATATCCTTTATGCTTTTGATTCAAATAGTTGTTAGATGTCTTAAGAACACTGCAGCTTTCATCTAAGGAATTCCACAAGAATATGACGACATAATGATGATCAACCAAGAACTCGTGTAAAAAAGAAGATAAAGTTGCACATCAAGCTCCTAATGCTAAGATCTATGTTTATTTTATTCAGTTTGATGTTAGCATCAATTTATCTGCTTTCTTTCAACAGTCAAAAACTCATTCTTCTATCGATAAAAAAAATTATTCACGTCACTCATTTCCCTATCTACTAGTCTGCCATAATTAAAATATAAATCAAAAGGCATTCCAACACCTGGAAACCTCTTGTAAACAGTTTTCTAAAGGCGCCAGACTGTAAATTAGATAGCATGAGGAGGATATATCTCTTTATCTTTCAGGTGGAGAATCCTCTGTTAATGCGAAATGATAACACAGATCTTCGTCGACAGCTTAGGTTGCTAACAATTATCTTCAACATGAAATAGAATTATCTATCACTGGGAGGAAAAGATTCTGGTATTTAATTCTGCACTAAATTTATGAGGTCCACATTCATATGATCAGAAAAGATGAGTGAAATTAAAATTTTCTTTTTTTTTTTTTTATCTCAACATCTCATAATTGTGGCTCTGATAGTAAGAGAAGTACCAGATGTTGAACACAGTTCCCCAATTATTCTTCCTTTATAGATTATACACTTCCATAACCACAAACTGAACTCATCTTATCAGTCAGATACCGAGCATATGATTCATTAAGTAATAGTCTAGAGTTAATCATCCGTTAATTACATTTATATTTCTCAACTCTCTTAGTTGAACAAGTTTATCGAAACCTTTCAGGAGAACTCCACACAAAGACTCTAAAAGAAGACATCTCCGCATCTAATGAGCCAACAACAAATGTAAACCTAAATTTTCATCATCATATTCTTAAAACCAGCACAAGCATCTTTCTTATGGATATATGTCTAGGTTATATCCTCAGAAAGCATAACTAATAAAAACTCGGCCACCAAAAGACTAACACTACACAAAAAGTAGTACTACCATGAAGTATGAAAGAAAGAAATGCGCCGCGGGATATGCATTCCTTTACTTATTTAGATCCAAAAGGTTTACAAACAAGCAAGCCAGAATAGACTTTCTAATATTCTACAACAAATTTCAGCAAAAATACACCATTACCAATTTCATCGCAAAACATCTCTCTATTTTTACTTTCAGAATAGACAGTTCACTAATCCGGCATGTTTCGACTGAGAAACACGAAACAACAAACGATGTGTGCAGAATAAAAAAAAAAAATACATAACTGCCATTGGTAAAACATTCCACCAGTTCAATCCAATTCACAAAACGAACGAAGAAAAACAGTGTTGGTCCAATCAAACATAATCCAAAAGCAAAATGTTTGTAAACAAATGCGTTAAAGATCAAAACTTTGGCAGCAGGTGAGTAAACCCGGCAACTCAAGCACAAGTTTTACAGCCTAGACGAGGATAACCCATCAAAAAAAGAGGAAAAAAACACTCTTGATGAATCAACATTCAATGTAAGATGGACGCCTCAAATGATAGCTTATCTCTCAAACGCAAAAACGGACCAAAAATCTCAAACAAACAAGAAGAAGAACAAGAAAATTTAACGAATAAAATGAACTGAATCATACAATCTGTGCGCATACATGCAACTTACCTGATGGGCTCACCCAGAAATGCAAAGCAAATCTGAAAACTTCATCATAAGGTTAATTTGTAAGGGAAGGAAGGAATTTCTATTGGGAAACGTAAAGTGCAGGTCAAGTGAAGTGTTCGAATTTCTTGGTGTGACGATTGAAAAACAAAGATTAGGATTGTAAATTTATAGAAAAAATAAAATAGAAAATGAAGCTCCCTCACAAACCCATCCGAAAAGCAGGGATCATCAAATTTGGCCCTCAACCTCAAGCGGCTTTTTTGATGTTTTAGATTTTCTCTTCCATTAACTTGCTATGTACCAAGCAACGTTTTTGGCCCTCCCATCTCCCCTCTATATAATAGTATCTTATTTTTTTATATTCGGATTGATACATAATTTGACTCGGGTTTCATGTCAACTGTCAATTATGCATCGTTATTTTCATAATACATTATGAATATTTTGCTTTATTAAAATAATTATTGTTTATTTCATTCTATATTTTTCTTTCATAGTTACCGTAATACTTTTTTTTTATTTTTTTTCTATTACATATATAATATCTTCACTTAAATCAATCGTAATAATTTATTTCTCACTCTTTTTCTCCAATATTCACATATTATTTATTTCAAAGACAAAGTAATATTATATTATTTTCTTATTTAAAAAATGATCCTTATTTAAAATTGAATTAGTTTGATGTCAGTCCAATAAAAATAAATAATTAATTATCTGAATTCAAAAATTACATATAAATTAGTTTGACATCCAAATTCTAAAATTATAGTGGTTAAAAAATATAGTTTGAAAAGGTAATTAAAAGAATAAATTATTTTAGTTGTAAAAGAAAATTTAAAATTAAAGCTTTAATAATAATTTTATATTCATAAAAAATATTTTAGATATTTTCCTTATCAAATTGTGGGCTCATACCAACTACACACCCACCCAAACCCAATCTTTAGATATCACGTAGCAACTACCCATTACACTATCCCACTCACCCTCTCCTTTCACACACCCAAACCACGCATGCACATACAACACGCACACACACATTACGGGACACACACACACACAACTCACCGCCAACCACACACACACAACACACCGCTGCCGGTCACACACACAACACACTGGCGCCGGTTAGCCCTTCCATAATCGTAGTCGCCGCGCCTCCCTCTGCGAAGTCCCCTCAATCCTCTCGATTTTCTCCTTCGCCGTCGACCAATTACTCCGTTTTCACGGCTGTGTGGTGACTGGAGATGGAGTTCGATGAAACCAATGTCGTCAACGCACGGCGATCGGCGTAACCGAAAATCAACCAAAACTTGAATTTGGGGATTGGATTTTTTTTTTCTTCTAAAAATTAGATAATTTATAGGAACCTATTTGCAATTTCAAGAATTTTGGTATACTTGAATTCAAGGTCAAATCTATAATTTATAAAAAGAATTATAAAAACATATTATTTTTTATGATTTATTTATACATATATATTGAAATAATAAATAAAAATATCAAATAAAAATAATAATTAAAAATATTAATAATATAAAAATTATATAATATAAATAATAAATTAATTTTCATTATTTAGATTAATTCAGTTAACCAATCAAATAACTAATTATTTCAGCTTGATTTTAATTTTGATTTGCACATAAAAAAATAGTCACCGCAGAATGCACAATATTGTTAAATAAGAAGCACATTAGTGACAGGTCAGACTGAACAATAATGTGTAATTGAAATACACTTTAATAAAATTTTCTAATTAGTGTTTGGGAGAATGCACATTATCGATTTTGGTATTTCGTGTATTATGTCTTTTCAACTAAAAATAAAATAAAAAATATTAAATAAAATTATTAAAATACTAAACATATTTTAAATGTAAACAATAAACTATTTCAATTATTTGGGCTATTTCAGTTTACCGAACGGATAGACCAAGCAATTCTGTTGGATTTCAATTTGGTTTGAAACAAATTAAAGTTCGGTCGGTTCAAACTGCACAATATCGACCGAAGTAGTGCACAAAAGTGTTAGACGTATTGCACATCAATAACTCACAGGTTGCACAATAGTGATCGACAGTGATTGGACTTATTTTTTTAGATCGAAATTTATATTTTGGTTTGATTAGTGTTTATGGGATGTACATCATCAATTTCTGTTTCATATATTATGTTTGGTGTCTAAACGGTCGGGCTCGGGTTCACACGACTTGAACTGCATCCTTGACCAGTTCATAGATCTACAAAATGGGTTGGGAGGGATTTCCGATGTTAGCACTCCGACGATAAAGTTCTATAAGTATATAGAGTGTGTAGAGTGCAAATGGACATACCTCACCCTTTTATATAGGGTGTTGCTTGTTTCCCAAGACTGGCAGGACGAGTTGTCCAGATTGCCCGTTCATACTACCAGAACTGCCCAATTCTGTTAGGCCACGTGGCCCTATCTACATTTAGTTCTTATCTTAATAATACTTCTTCTTATCCTTTAGTCTTTCGTATTAGAGGATCGAATCATACGATCGGCTCAACCTCTCGTGAGGCAGATCGTCTTCCCGACTAGGCTCATGTACTCTGTCTCCTAGATTGATCCTTCGACAAACGTACTTCCAGGTCGAGTTTCTATCAAACCATCCGAGGGCCCAAACTCGACGTGTCAGCAATACCTCATCATACAGCGTCCCTGTCGACCAGAGGACTCTGTTCGACTTGTAGCACCAGTCGACCTATTGTTGGATTCTATGAGAAACGTCATTTATGTGCACCTTTGAATCTAAAAAATAAATCCTAACGCAACATAATTTATTGTAAAGATTATGACTTATGGTTTAAATTTTTTTTCCGACTACGAGATGTTTCTGATTGCCACTGTAGGAGATTGTTTGAACCCAGAGTCTGTTTCGTTGCCAGATTTGGCCCGTCATCAGTGGACCTCGACCGTCTCTCGTATCTTACGTCTCTGGTCACTTTCCATTCGCGTCGGGCCATCTCGGTCCACCAGTAACTAAGTCGAACCTCTTCAGGGTCACAGTGGGATCGTCGGGGCTACTGGACCGAACTAGTGCATATTGGTCATGTTTGAGC